TTTATACATATTTGTGCATATGTCTACATACATATATTCGCCAAATACTTGCTATAACGGCATTTAATTATTATTTACTATGCTTTTTACACATTGATCTACACAAATTGTTTCCATTAATTTAGCCTAACTACACTCAGCGCTCACTGCTCTGGCATTCTTCTATAGACAATTAACTATGTTTTATAATTTTTATTTCTTTTCTAAAAACATGTGTTGCAAACTGAAGCGTCGACATTACAAATACAAACGCAATGCCGCCATAAAAAATCAGACAAGTCAACAATTTTTTCGCTAAATAAATCTAACCACATCGGCATCCCTAATGGCTGGCGCTTAACACTCAACATATACATATGTGTACATATGTATATATATARTAACTACATATGCATTATATGCTTACACTCATACATAGAAATATGTGTGCAGCTCGTGTATTTACTAAAATTGTAAATATCTCACATGCTTTTGTTTTTGTAAATGGGCAACTTGACTAAGTTTGGTATTCACTTTGTTCTCAACATTGATTGTATTCTTAAGCTTCTTGGGTATTCATTGGATATTATCTGGCTGTATGTATGATTTTTGTTGTTGTAATTTTGCTTTCTTGCCTTGGACGCATTGAAAAACAACTATTCTGCGCTTTTGTTTTCTGCTTTTATTTTTGCTTAGCTACATGTGTTGTTGTTTTTATGCGCATATGTTGCTGTCTGCTGCATACACATGTATGCATGTATGCATGTATTTCAGTTTGTATGTATGTACTATAGGTATTTTAATTGTTATCTAAAAGGTAAACTTTTACTTGAATATTTTGCCTAGAGTTTCGGTTATCTGCTTGCACATACATATTTATAGTTATGTACATATATATATGTTGCTATGTATTTCTTTGTAAATAGTTTTGGAGTAACACACACATCGAAAAATATGGAAAATTGTTCGCTACTTCATTTGCTAATGCATTGCAGCWTTGTCTTTAACTAACTACTAGGTTTGTATGTATGTATTTATGTATATTATATGTGTGGGTGGATATTCTGCTTGTAGTTTGGAAAACACTGTAAACTGCACTAATAAATTAATGTCTATTCGCATAATTCTGCAATGGGTTCAATTTTTGCTCAGCAAAAGCCTCGATTTTTTTGAAAACTGTCTGGAAACTTTATATAGAATTCAATATTAACAAGAAATTTTTATGGAAAGATTTTCGGAAATGAGCAAAAGTATACTTAAAATAAAATAAA